AACAAAGGGATGGAGAAAGATTTATCAACCAAATGGAGAGAAAAAAACAAAAGAAAACAAAACAAAAAAACAGGAGTTGCAATTCTCATCTCTGATAAAATAGACTTTAAAGCAACAAAGACCAAAAGAGACAAAGGACATTACATAATGGTAAAAGGATCAATGCAACAAGAAGAGCTAACGATCCTAAATATATACGTACCCAATACAGGAGCACCCAGATACATAAGGCAAGTTCTTAATGACTTACAAAGAGACTTAGACTCCCACACAATAATAGTGGGAGACTTTAACACTACCTTGTCAATATTTGACAGATCAACGAGACAGAAAATTAACAAGGATATCCAGGACGTGACCTCAGACCTGAAATAAGTAAACTTAATAAACATTTACAGAACTCTCCACCCCAAATCCGCAAAACATACACTCTTGGCTCACTGCAATCTCTGCCTCCTGCGTTCAAGCAATTATCTCCCAAGTAGCTGGCACAGCACTCCAGGCTGGGCAACAGAGTGAGACCCTGTCTCAAAAACACAACAAAACCAAAAAGAAATTAAAACATCGATAGACCTGCTAATGGAGCAAGGGCACTCTTCTGCAGCTATTTGTTCCCATTTCCTTCCCCATAATCCATGTAGCATCCACAGTATGTGGCTTTGGTCACCTCCCAGCCACCTAGGTCCCACTCCATTGCCAGAGGAGCACTGGCTGGGAGGATGATGCGGTCAGACAACACCCTAGACGCTGCTCCCCTCAAAATGGCTTTCAACCCAAAAGAAAAGAAGAGCCTGGGTGCAGTGGCTCACGCCTGTAATCTCAGAACTTTGGGAGGTCGAGGTAGGTGGATCACAAGGTCAGGAGTTCCAGATCAGCCTGGCCAATATGGTGAAACTCCATCTCTACTAAAAATACAAAAATTAGCTGGGCGTGGTGGCGGGCGCCCGTAATCCCAGCTATTCGGGAGGTTGAGGCAAGGGAATTGCTTGAATCCAAGAGGCAGAGGTTGCAGTGAGCCAAGATCGTGCCACTACACTCCAGCCTGGTAACAGAGCAACGCTCTGTCTCAAAAAAAAAAAGAAAGAAAGAAAGAAAGAAATGATCCAGCCCGAGCGCGGTGGCTCACGCCTGGAATCCCAGCACTTTGGGAGGCAGAGGCAAGAGGATGACGAGGTCAGGAGATCGAGACCAGCCTGGCCAACTGGTAAAACCCCATCTCTACTAAAAATACAAAAATTAGCTGGGTGTGGTGGCACACGCCTGTAGTCCCAGCTACTGGGGAGACTGAGGTAGGAGAATTCCTTGAACTGGACCCAGGAGGTGGAGGTTGCAGTGAGCCGAGATTGTGCCACTGCACTCCAGCCTGGGCTACAGAGTGAGACTCCATATCAAAAGAAAGAAAGAGAGAGAGAGAGAGAGAGAGAGAAAAGAGAGAAAGAAAGAAAAAGAAGGAAGGAAGGAAGGAAAGAAGGAAAAAGGAAGAAAGGAAGGAAGGTACTTTAGTGCAGAACACTGCGTACATGCTGCTTAATAGTCACACCTGACGGCATGCCTCTTTTTTAAGACAGGGAAAGAGGATGAAGCCACTTATCTCTTCAGTGATGCCATTATTTTTATTTATTTTTTATTTTTATTGTGAGATGGAGTTTCGTTCTTGTTGCCCAAGCTGGAATGCAATGGCCTGATCTCAGCTCACTGCAACCTCTACCTCCCGGGTTCAAGTGATTCTCCTGCCTCAGTCTCCCGAGGAGCTAAAATTACAGGCACGTGCCACCACGCCCAGCTAATTTTTGTATTTTTAGTAGAGATGGGAGTTTCACCATGTTGGTCAGGCTGGTCTTGAACTCCTGACCTCATGAGCCACCTACCTTGGCCTCCCAAAGTGCTGAGATTACAGGCGCGAGCCACCTCGTCCTGCCTGTATTTTTAGTAGAGACGAGGTTTTGGTATGTTGGCCAGGCTGGTCTCAAACTCCTGACCTCTGGTGATCCCCCAGCCTTGGCCTGCCAAAATGCTAGGATTATAGGTGTGAGTCACCATGCCTGGCATAAGGGATTAATTTCTAAGGCCTTGTGATATTGAGAAATGTATGTTTCATTTTCATCAAATTTCCTGGCATACAACTTCTAAAAGTTCTTGGAATTTTCTTTGTTTGTTTTTGTTTTTGCCCAGGCTGGAGTGCAGTGGTGCAATCTCAGCTCACTGCAACCTCCACCTCCTGGGTTCTCATGATTCCCCTTCCTCCGGATCCTGAGTAGTTGGGATTACAGGCACTCACTATCACGCCTGGCTAGTTTTTGTATTTTTAGTGAACACCGGGTTTCACCCGATGGCCAAGCAGATCTGGGACTCCTGATCGCAAGTGATCCATCTGCTCTGGCTTCCTAAAGTGCTGGGATTACAGGCGTGAGTCACCTCGCCTGGCGGTAAGTGTCTTTTAACATTCACCAGTTGACTGATGGCAGGCAGCCCCTGGGTACCTTCTGGATGGGTGCTAGTTGACAGAAAGACAAAGGTGAGATTAGAGGGTTGGAATTTTAACCCCACCTCCAGCCTCTGAGGAGGGTAGAGGGGTTGGAGGTTAAATTGATTATCAGTGACCAATGGTTTAATCAATCTGGCCTATGTAATAAAACCTCTATAAAAACCCAAAAGGCCTAGGGTTCTGAGAGCTCCTGGATTGCTGAACACGTGGAGGTTCCCAGAGGATGGCGTGCCCTCTTCCCCATACCTAGCCCTATGCATCTCTTCATCTGTATCTTTTGTGATATCCTCTATAACAAACCGGCGAATATGTTTCCCTGAGTTCTGTGAGTCTTTCTGGCAAATTAATGGAACCCAAGGTGGGGGCTGTGGGTAATCTGACTTATATCCCATAGATCCGAAGCACAGGTAAAACAACCTAGGGCCTGGGCACGGTGGCACTCACACCTGTAATCCCAACACTTTGGGAGGCTGAGGTGAGTGAATCACAAGGTCATGAGTTCGAGACCAGCCTGGCCAACATGGTGAAACCCCGTCTCTACTAAAAATACAAAAATTAGCCAGGCGTGGTGGCACATGCCTGTAATGCCAGCTACTTGGGAGATAATTGCTTGAATGAGGGAGACAGAGATTGCAGTGAGCCAAGATCATGCCACTACATTCCAGCCTGGGCAACAGAGCAAGACTCTGCCTCAAAAAAACACACACAATAAAAAACAAGAAACAAACACAATTAGGGCTTGCAATTGGCATTGAAAGTGAAGGACAGTTGAGCTGGTCACAGTGGCTGACACCTGTAATCCCAGCATTCTGGGAGGCCAAGGCGGGTGGATCACAAGGTCAAGAGATCAAGACCATCCTGGCCAACATGGTGAAACCCCATCTCTACTAAAAATACAAAAATTAGCTGGGCGGGTGTGGTAATGGGCACCTGTAATCCCAGCTAGTCAGGAGGCTGAGGCAGGAGAATCTCTTGAACCCAGGAGGCAGAGGTTGCAGTGAGCCGAGATCATGCCACTGCACGCCGGCCTGGTGACAGCAAGACTCCACCTCAAAAAAGAAAAAAAAAAAAAAGTAGGGGACAGTCTTATGGGACAGAGCCCTCAGCCCATGGGATCTGATGCTGTCTCCAGGTATTCAGGGTCAGGATTGGATTGGAGGACGCCAAGCTGGTGTCTGCTGCAGAACTGATTGCTTGGGGTATGAGGAACCCCTCCCCCGGCCACACACACACACATATAGTGTCAAAGTGTCAAAGTGATTTGTGTTGTGATAATATAGGAGAAATGGAGTTTGTTCCCCCTATGTATGACCACAGGCCCATTTTCTTAACTCTAAAAGGGAGATCTTGGGGGCAATTGTCCTTCCTTCTTTTATCCCAGAGAAAACTAAGGTGACAAAATGTACCTACCAGAGTGTAGTACTTGGACTTCCTTGTGACAGCTCTGGGTTTGTGTGGGGTTTTGCTTCTTTGTTTGTTTGAGATGGAGTTTCCACTCTTGTTGCCCAGGCTGAAGTGCAATGGCTGGACCTGAGCTCACTGCAACCTCCACCTCCCGGGTTCAAGTGATTCTCCTGCCTCAGCCTCCCAAGTAGCTGGGATTATAGGCTCCTGCCACCACACCTGGATAATTTTTGTATTTTTAGTAGAGACAGGGTTTCAGCATGTTGGCCAGTCTGGTCTCGAACTCCTGACCTCAGGTGATCTACCCACCTCAGCCTCCCAAGTGCCGGGATTACAGGCATGAGCCACTGTGCCTGGCCGACAACTCTGGGTTTTAATCCAAAATGCATCTCTTGCTAGCTGTGTGCCCTCGGCCAAATCGTGTCTCCTTTCTTTTTTTTTTTTTTTTTGAGACGAAGTCTTGCACTGTTGCCCAGGCTAGAGTGCAGTGGTGCTAACCACAACCTCCACCTCCCAGGTTCAGGCAATTCACCTGCCTCAGCCTCCCGAGTAGCTGGGATTACAGACGCTCACCACCATGCCCAGCTAATTTTTGTATTTTTAGTAGAGACAGGTTTCACTATATTGGCCAGGCTGGTCTCGAACTCCTGACCTCCTGATCCACCTGCCTCAGCCTCCCAAAGTGCTGGGATTACAGGTGTGAACCACTGCGCCCGGCCTCACTTCACCTTTCTTAGTATAGGTTTCCTTCTGTGAAAAGGGCATGGACCGTGGTGAGAATTACACAGCACACTTAGGCTGAGGTCGATCCATCTTGGACTCCTCTCAAGGTGGTTCTTTACTGAAGTACAGCAACATCGCCAGCATGAGGCACTTTTCCGTCTCCACAGTCCGCTGCCTAGCCAACGATTTTATTACAAACCCTAATTTCTTTTGCAAAGAAACATCTTGAACTGGTCATGAATAAAGTGGCTTTTCTCTGACCAGCAAGTAGGTGGCGATTCCATTTCCACCAGAACTGACCTCGTGCTGCTCGGGGAGGGGAGGGGGGTGCGCAGAGGCCTGATGTCACTCAGCTCTACATAAGGGCCTCCTGCAGGCTCCTGCAGGCAGTTTGGAAGCAGCTGGAGGAATGAATTAGGTTCCTGGTTGCAGTACTTTTTTTCTTCTTTTCTTTTCTTTTTTAAAACAGACACAGCTGTTGAGTGAAATGCCGCCTCCACAGAAAATCCCAAGCGTCAGACCTTTCAAGCAGAGGAAAAGCTTGGGTAAATTTCTTGGGGTACCTTTCTGGGTTACTCGAAAGAGAGGGGAGGATCTGGCTTTCTCTTGATGTTTGCTTATTCTCTTGTGCTTGAAATATTCACAGCAATCAGACAAGAGGAAGTTGCTGGAATCCGGGCAAAGTTCCCAAACAAGATCCCGGTAAGACATCATTGTACTTCCCTTGTGGGGGGCGGGTTCTGATCCTGTTCTTGGAAAAAAAAAAACAAGACCAGCCAACAACTTCCCTCTCTCTGTTCCAAGATCCTAAGACTCAGAGAACTCTGAGTCACATTCTTAAGGACTGATGCTCTTGACAGGTGATAGTGGAGCGCTACCCCAGGGAGAAGTTCCTGCCCCTGCTGGACAAAACCAAGTTTCTGGTCCCACAGGAGCTGACCATGACCCAGTTCCTCAGCATCATCCGGTAGGTGGCTCAGAGCGTGCCCGGGAGGAAGGTGCAGGGGGTGTGCCGGGCCTCTTCTGTTTCCTTCATTAGGTGGTTTTATTTGGGGGATGGGGGTATGTCAGGGGAAGAGAGGAAAGAGATTTTTTTGAAGTCATCTTTTAGATTCACTAGTGCCCTGAAAAGATGCTCTTAGAATTATTCTGTTTTGAAGCCGGGTGCACTGACTCATGCCTGTAATCCCAGCACTTTGGGAGGCTGAAGTTACGAATTGGAAACCAGCCTGGCCAACATGGTGAAACCCCGACTCTACTAGAAATACAAAAATTAGCTGGACATGGTGGTGGATGCCTGTAATGCCAGCTGCTCAGGAGGCTGAAGCAGGAGAATCGCTTGAACCTGGGAAGCGGAGGTTGCAGTGAGCTGAGATTGCATCATTGCACTCCAGCCTGGGTAACAAGAGCGAAACTCCATCTCAAAAAAAAAAAAAAGAAAGTAAAGAAAGAATTACTCTATTTAATTTAATTTAATTTAATTTAATTATTAATTAATTTTTTAAAGACAGGATTTCACCATGTTGATCAGGCTGGTCTTTACTCCCAACCTCAGGTGATCCACCTGCCTTGGCCTCCAAAGTGCTTGGATTGCAGGCATGAGCCAACAAGCCTGGCCCACGATAGCTATTTTTTTTTTTACACAAAGATAGCTGTATAATTGTCAGGGACCAAACCTTTGGGGTTATTTTGGGAGGAGTTATCTGGGTGTCAAATGAATTGGATTCTGGTCACTCCCATCTCCCACTGCTGCATGGACATAGCCCACCTGAAGGCTCAAAGCTCTAACATAGGAATGGGTGGGCTGTGCCCGCTTCACCAGTTAGAGCACCTGGAAGAAGTGTGATTAAAGTGAGACCAAGCCTTCACCTAGGCACCTACGTTTTCACACTGCCATCTGCTCCGGGATGACTGGGGACTCAGATTGCCCTTGGCATTTAAAGCGTGTTCAACCGAATGTGGCTACCTTCCTATCTCCTTGATGTGAGGGCAGAAGTAACACGGGAAGGAAAGGGCACACTTCACGGCAGGAGATCCCTTCCAAGTGTCATCTTCGGCTGTTCAACAGTGACATGCCAGGCCAGGCGCAGTGGCTCGCGCCTGTAATCCCAGCACTTTGGGAGGCCAAGGCAGGTGAATCCCTTGACATCAGGAGTTTGAGACCAGTCTGGCCAACATGGTGAAACCCCATATCTTCTAAAAGTGCAAAAATTAGCTGAATGTGGTGGCACACACCTGTAATCCCAGCTACTTGGGAGGCTAAGGCAGGAGAATTGCTTGAACCTGGGTGGTGGAGGTTACAGTGAACTGAGATCACACCACAGCACTCCAGCATGGGTGACAGAGTGAGACTCCATCTCAAAAAAAAAAGTGAGATGCCAGAGAGACTATGTATCACTTTTGTACCTCTCGGGAAACAGCTTTAATTTCATAGCAAACAGAAGTTATTTCGTTAGCCTTTTTTTTTTTTTTTTTTTGAGATGGCGTCTGGCTCTGTCAGCCAGGCTGGAGTGCAGTGGTGTGATCTTGGCTCATTGCAACTTCTGCCTCCCAGGTTCAAACAATTCTCTGCCTCAGCCTCCCAAGTAGCTGGGATTACAGGTGCCCACCACCACGCCCGGCTAATTTTTGTCTTTTTCGTAGAGACGGGGTTTCACCGTCTTGGTGAAGCTGGACTTGAACTCCTGACCTTGTGATCCCCTCTGCCTCCTTGGCCTCCCCAAGTGCTGGGATTACAGGCCTGAGCCACGGTGCCCAGCCCACTTAGTATGTTTGTGTTATCTTTCCCTGCCATGTTTCTTCGTCGTGTTTTGTCATATTTCATCCATGGAATGACCTCACCCTTTTGACCCGACTGGGACACCTTGTAGTTTCTAAATCTCAGGGAAGAAGGAGGGAGCAATTCCCTCTTCTTGAGCGTCATGACGCTGCAGGTCCCCGGGCTGCCTCGACGGTCACCCTCTCACCGCCCTCCTGCCCATCCCAGGAGCCGCATGGTCCTGAGAGACACGGAAGCCTTTTACTTGCTGGTGAACAACAAAAGCCTGGTCAGCATGAGTGCAACCATGGCAGAGATCTACAGGGACTACAAGGATGAAGACGGCTTCGTGTACATGACCTACGCCTCCCAGGAGACGTTTGGCTGCCTGGAGTCAGCAGCCCCCGGGGATGGGAGCAGCCTTGAGGACAGACCCTGCAATCCTCTCTAGCCCATGTGGGGAAGAACAGGTGCTCTGACAGACGCATCCGACGCTGGCAGAAGGGACTGGTTTTCCCCTGTGTGTGTGTGGAGGTGTCTGAGAAGCAGAGATGCCGGGAGTGATCAGGTCCAGCCAGCGGCCGCAGAGTGGCAGCTCGCCCTCGTTTAGTTTTTGTGCTCCATGCTCTTGTGTTCTTCTAAGAAAAACGTGAGCTGCTCTTGAAAGTTTTGTAATTATAACTTTTTTTTTTTTTTTTTTTTTTTGAGACAGGTTCTTGCTCTCTTGCCTAGGCTGGAGTGCAGTGGCACGATCTTGGCTCACCACAGCCTCCGCCTCCTGGGTTCAAGGGATTCCCCTGCCTCAGCCTCCTGAGTAGCTGGGATAACAAGTGTGTGCCACCACCCCAGGCCAATTTTTGTATTTTTAGTAGAGACGAGGTTTCACTGCGTTGGCCAGGCTGGTCTCAAACTCCTGCCCTCAGGTGATCCACCCACCTCAGCCTCCCAAAGTGCTGGGATTACAGGTGTGAGCCACCGCATCCAGCCATAGAACTCTATCTTGAATAAGAAATGGTTGGCTTGTGTGATGGCTTTGTATGATGAGCTGGAGATAATATTTTTCAAGTGTCTTCTGAGGTATATGTGGGAGGGCCATTGGGGAGTGGATTTCACTCCCTGCATGTAGGCAGGGGTGCCCTGTAGGGCTCAGGCCTAGAGAACCTCCGGCCTGTGGACTGTCTCTGTGGAACCCAGTGAAGCCAGTGTGACCCATGGGAAGCTCACCTGGAGGGGCCCTTCCCTGTGTCATTAGAGAGATGATTCTATTTCCCCAGCGATCACTCTATTCGGTTATTTTCTCTTTTTGCCCTTCCGTACCATACATGTTTATGCCAAAGCTGTAACTTGTCAACATAGCCATTGAAACCATGCATATGTTTACTATGTGCCAAGCTTCATTCTAAAATAAATATTCTTTATTTTAAAGGAGGTTTATTCTTTGGCTTCTTATCACAGCTGTCTATGGCTAACCACTGCTACAGTTGCCCACACAATGGGTGGGTGTGATCGCTTGGTGGGTGACAGTCCACTGACTGCCACCAAGGAGGATTTAGCAAGGGGATGTATTAATTCTAACAAGTAAGGAGGGCACTGGGGATAGTTCCCAACGCAGTGCCTCCCCGAACAAAGGTGAACACAGGGCACTCACTGGACTGGTTAGCTGAGTCGCCGTATGCAGAGGCGGAGTCAAGGGGCGCGGGCGCAGTCACTGGCCATGCTTCTCCACAGGCTGCATGTTCAGAGAATGGCGAATAATCCTGAGGAACGATTAAAGAAAAAAAAAAAAAAAAAAAAAAAAACAGAAAAAAAAAAAGAAACCTACAAAAACAAGAAAATGGCGAATAAGCTTCTCCCTAAGAGGCAATTTTTTTTCTCCATTAATGAGCCTTTTTATTATTGTCATGGGTTTTTTAAATTTTTTGGCTTTGTTTTGTTTCGTGTTTTGAGACGAAGTTTCACTCCTGGTGCCCAGTCTAGAGTGCAATGGCAGGCTCTCGGCTCACTGCAAACCCCGCCTCCCAGGTTCAAGTGATTCTCCTGCCTCAGCTTCCCTAGTAGCGGGATTACAGGTATTTGCCACCACACCCAGCTAATTTTGTATTTTTAGTAGAGATGAGGTTTCTCCATGTTAGTCAGGCTGGTCTTGAACACCCGACCTCAGGTGATCTGCCCACCTGGGCCTTGCAAAGTGCTGGGGTTACAGGCATGAGCCACCATACCTGGCTTTTTAAAATTTTTTTTTTTTTTTTTAATCGTAGGTTCCTTACTGGTTTGGCTTCCATGAGTGGCTGTGACCAGGGGAAAAGGGAGAGGAACCAGCCAGCAAAGAGGCGTCATCTCCACAACATTCCATTTATACACAGAACTAGCCAAGCATAGAGTCACTATTGTGGTTAGAAGTTGGCAGAATGGGGCCGGGTGCGGTGGCTCACGCCTGTAATCCTAGCACTTTGGGAGGCCGATGCAGGCAGATTACCTGAGCTCAGGAGTTCCAGATCAGCCTGGGATACATGGTGAAACCCCAACTCTACTAAAATACAAAAAGTTAGCCGGCTATGGCAGTGCACGCCTATAGTTCCAGCTACTGGGGAGGCTGAGGCAGCAGAATTGCTTGAACCTGGGAAGCAGAGGTTGCAGTGAGCTGAGATCGCACACTGCACTCCAGCCTGAGCAACAGAATGAGACTCTGTCGTCAAAAAAAAAAAAAAAAAAAAAAAAAGTCAACAGCATGGGAAGGGCGAGGAGCAGGTAGGAAGTAGGGGGTTGTTAAAAAAAAAAATACAGGCCTCCTCACAACTGGGGTACCTGGAGGGAACCTGGTCTGTTTCAACCCAAGAGGAATCAGGAGATCTAAAGCAGTTTAGGAAGGCTGGAACTGCCGGGAGTGGAGGGAGGAGGAAAATCCAGGGAGGAGGGGGCTCTGTTTGGCAACTGGGGTGAAGGGATTGCCCTCCCCCTACTGGGATCCGCCCTAGCCCCTCCAGTCTGGCAGGAAGAGGGGCAGCCTGCAACCCCTGAGGGCAGGTGTGGGGCTGCCAGATTCTCCAGGCAGGAGGCCAGAAGGGGCTCACCAGGGCTTGCCTCCAGGGAGATGATGGCACTGCCCCCCCAGCTTCTCTGCCAGGATGCAGTAGGCCTTGACCTCCTCGTAGCAGTCTGCTTGTAATTCATGCTTGATCCCTGTCAGCTTCTTCTTGATGGCATTTTTGGAGCTGGCATAGATCATTTCACTCTTAAGGGGTGCAGACTCAGAGGCCCGGAATATAAATACTGGGTCCTCCTTCCTACTCTTCTTGGTCTCGTAGATTGCGTCACAGAGCGCATAGCGGCAGTCCTAATCTGGCAGCATCTTGATAAAGGTGGTGGAGGGGTCGTGCACGGTCCGGCCCACGTCACCCACCAGGATCTCACTGCCGTCCTCGGGGATGATGGTTTTCTTGCCCTCACTCACGCAGAAGAGCACCTGCCTTCTTCACCTCCTCTGGCGTCAAAGACTTAACGCAGCTCCGTGTCATTGAACACCTTGATGACACCATCGGAGGTGACTGAACCTTTTTTGTTTTGGTTTTTTTTTTTTGAGATAGAGTCTTGCTCTGTCTCCTAGGCTGGAGTGCAGTGGTGCAATCTCGGCTCACTTAGGCTCAAGAGATTCTCCTGACTCACAGGCGTGTGCCACCGTGCCCAGCTAATTTTTAATTGTTTCATTTTTTAGTAGAGATGGGGTTTCTCCATGTTGGTCAGGCTGGTCTCAAACTCCAACTCCCGACTTCAGGTGATCCGCCCACCTTGACCTCCCAAAGTGCTGGGATTACAGGCAGGAGCCATTGCACCCAGCCACAGCAGATGTGTTTTCACCGTGCATACCCAACAAACTAGGGACCCTGGGTTATATTACTGTCATTTTGCACATAAGGAAATGGAGGCCCAGAAAAGCCAAGAACATTTTGCATTTTCACACACCATAGTCTCATCAGGACTTGAGGTTGGGGAGCCACATTTAGAAGCCACCCTTCTAGCTCTCTGCTGGGGTCCCTACATAGGACAAGGTTAACTCTACTTGACAAGTACTGGATGCTTGAGCTACAGTATTGAGTGACACCAGTGCCACCTACAGAGAGGACAGGAGGTACAGTGGAGCTCCGTGAATGCATTAACAATAGGGTGTTTCAAGGCTGGGCATGATGGCTCACACCTGTAATCCCAGCACTTTGGGAGTGAGTTCAAGGTGGGCAGATCACGAGGTCAGGAGTTCGAGACCAGCCTGACCAACATGGCAAAACCCATCTCTACTAAAAATACAAAAATTAGCTGGACGTGGTGGTACGTACCTATAATTCCAGCTACTCAAGAGGTTGAGGCAGGAGAATCCCTTGATTCCAAGAGGTGGAAGGTTGCAGTGAGCCAAGATTGTACCACTGCACTCCAGCCTGGGCAACAGAGGAAGACTCTGTCTCAAAAAAAAAAAAAAACTTAAAAAAAAATGTTTTTAAAAAGACAACATATTGAGCACATTCCTTGGCACAGTACTGTATTTAGACAGCATAGTGTCCTGGGAATACCTGGAGCTTTGCCATCAGACACACCTGAGTGTAGAAGGAGGGTCTGCTCTGCCTTGCCCTGTCCTGGGGATCATTTAATCCCTGCACTAGTTTCTTCATCTGAAAACCTAGTGTAGGCTTCAGAATAGAAGGACCTTCTGAACAGCCCATAATGAAGGGACTGGTACACTTTTAGCTTCAAAGTTTTCATATCATCTATATGTTCCTCACAGGCAATGAGATCTCAATTCTCAACAGCAGCAAGTTTCCAACCAGCAGGACTGTGCTACCTGAAATTGCTTCCTCTGCCAGGAAAGCCCCAGCTAGCTCAGAAGTGGTCTCCTTTGACACTGAAGTCAGTGCAGACAAAAACCAGCAGGTGGCACAGCATGGCTTCTTTGGGTTTGGGAATGGCCAAACAGTTTGTAGTCAATAAAAATAAATTCTCCCCAATTAAATTTTTTTTTTTTTTGAGATAGAGCCTTGCTCTATCACCCAGGCTGGAGTGTGGTGGTGCGATATCAGCTCACTGCAACCTCCACCTCCTGGGTTCAAGTGATTCTCCTGCCTCAGCCTCCCGAGTAGCTGGAATTACAGGTGCATGCCACCATGCCCAGCTAATTTTTGTATTTTTGGTAGAGATGGTGTTTCACTGTGTTGGTCAGGCTGGTATCACACTCCTGACCTCATGATCTGCCCACTTCGGCCTTCCAAAGTGCTCTGCACACAGCAAGACTCTGTCTAAAAGAAACCCACACACATACAAAAAACAATTAGCCAGGTGTGATGGCATGTGCCTGTAATCCCAGCTACTCAGGAGGCTGAGACAGAAGAATCGCTTGAACCCGGGAAGCGGAGGTTGCAGCGAGTTGAGATTATGCCATTGCACTCCAGCCTGGGTGACAGAGTGAGATTCTGTCTCAAAAAAAAAAATAAAAAAAGAAAAGCCACATGAAGAAGTGAAGACATAGCAGTCACTAAAACATGCTGTAGACACAAGGTCCAGTTGAAATTGAGGGTATTCCTTAAACACAAATAAAATCTGTCTGCAGCTTTTGACATAAGGAGTAGAGTTCCAAGAAACCAGGCCAGACAAGTAGGTCATTGAGGACCTCACATAACATACCACAGAAGCTAGTAATTATCCAGCATGTAACTGGGAATCCTAAAAGAGTTGTGGCTGAGCACGGTGGCTCACACCTGTAATCCCAGCACTTTGGGAAGCTGAGGTGGGAGGATGGCTTGAGCCCAAGTGTTCAAGACCAGCCTGGGCAATGCAACAAAACCCCACCTCTTCAAAACAAAAAAGTGTCTCAGGAATAGGAGAGTTACTGATTCAAATGCTAATCTCACCTGGAAAAAAAAAAAAAAAAAAAAGAATAGGATAGTTGTATTGATTTATTTCCTTTTATTTTATTTTATTTTATTTTATTTTATTTTATTTATTTTTTTTTTTTTTTGAGACGGAGTTTCGCTCTTGTTACCCAGGCTGGAGTGCAATGGCACGATCTCGGCTCACCGCAACCTCCGCCTCCTGGGTTCAGGCAATTCTCCTGCCTCAGCCTCCCGAGTAGCTGGGATTACAGTCACGTGCCA